TTGCTTTCTTACTCATAAGTACATGAGTTGTGAATATAATCGAAATTCCCGCACTTCCGCACTTTTAAAAAAATCGCGCAATCTCTTTATTCTTATCGCAGCTGAGTTATTCGCAAAACGGTTTGGTAGAGATTGGTTCTTCAAGGAAACCTTGTCAGCCAACTCTTTAGGGAACATCGTCAACAACTGGCTTTGGACTTTGGATTCGATGTAATCAATCCAATTCGTTGAAATAAAATTTTACGCGAAATTCTCATCGACGATTGAACAATTAGTGAAAAAAAAACACAACAAAAAGATTATTGATATTCGAGTGATAATTTCGAATCAGCTAAGAATTACCAGTTCCGAAGTCCCTTTCAACAAAATGTTTCCATAACCGTTCCGTAAAGGCAAGATTGATATTGCACGCTTTATTCGCATGTGTACACGTACACTCCAAACGAAGAACATCTTTTGCGCTCAATTCTTTCAGGATTCGTTCAGCCAACGTCTCATGTCCCAATAAACGTAGAAAACGATTTTTATCTGCAACTCGCAAGAGGTTTTCAGAAAAAGCACCGGCGTTGAGAAGCAGTGAAGATTTTGTAGATGCGATGATGACCTTGCTTGATTGTAAGCTGTACTGTGGAAGATGCACACATTCAACAGACTGGATGATCAGTGTGAACGAACATTGACAGCAAATGCTTTCACTCATAACTGATCGATCCTATTTGAGTCGATGGTAATAAAAGATCTCGTTAAGACGATAGCTTGTTGTGGATAGTCATATTCCATCAACACCACACAGCAACTCGTATCAGTCTCATTTAATGGATACGATTCGACGCACAAATGAGAACATTATACTGATCAGGTATCAAAAAACAAAAAAGATTCTGATTCGGAACCAACATTCATTCAATTTGATCAAACGAATTATAAGAGAAAACTCGAAGATATGATGACAACTAATTCTAGGCCACAAAAATTGATCAAAACAAAGTGAGAGAAGAATAATGAAATGAAACGAACGTCCAATTAATGCG